CCCACAACGTCTCCAAAAGGCTCAACGGTGTACCCAGCGTCCCAGGTACACCCCCCTCCATGCTATACCCTCTATATCCCTGATGGGCTCTGCATGGCAGGGGCGTCCTTCTCCCTGAGTCGGGCCTAAGCCTGACCGCATACCATCTGTCTCTACCTTGCTGCCCAGATGGGGTCCTTACGCTTGATCCAGAGCCAGTTACTGCTTTTTTCAGCAGCACTTGATATGGACTTGATGGCCTGTTGTAGAGAGTGACCCTTCACCCCTATTTTTCTCAGCAAACTGGTGGTAGATGTTGCAACAAAACCCCTGCATCCCACCTCTACTGGGAAGATGCTAGTCTTCCAGCCGTTCTGGGATGCTTCAGCTGCCAGGTCGGAATATTTGTTCTTTTTCCTCTCATAAGCCTCTTCAACCCCCTCTTCCCATGGTACTGTTAATTAATTTGTTGGAGACCATAGGACCATGTCTGGCCGGAGTGTTGTAGCCACTATTTCTGGGGGAAACACAAGCTTCTTATTAAGGTCCACTTCCAATTTCCAATCCCGCGCTGATTGCAGGAAGCTTGCATCTTTAGGTGTTGTACGATTCTCTTGATGTTGGCCAGCTGGTACAAATTTGTGAAGTTAACCTGTCCTGCCAATGTTTGTGGGAGGATGTTTGTGGTGGTTCATTTCTGTTCCAGTATTGATGCCAGCTCTCTAAGTACTTGGTTATGCCGCCAAGTATTGCGCCCTTGGGTAAGACTTGTAGTGCACCCTGATAGAATGTGCCTTAGTGATGCAGGTACTTGACACAGGGAACAGGCGGGATCTTCTCCATACCATACTCTTTCAGATTTTGAGGGGAGGGTAGCAGGTCGTATGTGGCTCTGATGACAAAACTCAGCCGCGCTCCATCCATCTGCCAGATGTCACGCCAGCTGAGCTTTTTCTTCTCCAGGCCCTCCCAGTTGGTCCATTTCCCCTGCTTGGCCATTGAGACGGCTTTGGCATGTCGCTCACCCTCCTCCTGTCTCCTGACTTCTTCTACCACTAGCGGTCTCTTCTGCACTGATGTTGCTTTGTGCCACAGAGGAGTTTTTGGGATGAGTCCGAACCCTGCTCTCCCATGCTGTACTTGTCCAACCACATCTCTGAAGTGAAGCGCAGACTTTGCACTCTGAACAGCTTCCGATGGAGTCCACTTCCTTCCCACTACCACCCGGGGGGCCGCTGTTTGAATAACTGCATCCTCGGATTCAGTTAGGGTCATGACGAGCCTTGCCTTGGTGCATTTGAACTCTTCCACGAGCCCTGTAATAGGTAATTCCAACTGGCCATGTCCATAAAGTCCAACGGAACTTAAACAACTTGGAATTCCAAGCCACTGCTTCAGCTGTATGCTTATCAGCCGTTCCAACTTTTCAACTTTGGTGATGGGGATCTCATACACAGTTAACATCTTGGGAATATGCCAAACTGAAAGCACCACAACTTGAGTTTTCCTGGTAACAATGTCTTGTTTTTATACTTTAAAATACAATTTAGTCCTATGAAGCAAAGCAAATTTCAGCATCATTACTCCAGTCTTCAGTGTCACATGATCTTCAGAAATCATTCTAATATGCTGATTTATAATCAATGTTGGAAACAGTTGTGCTGCTTAATATTTTTTTGGGACCTGTGATATTTTTTCAGGATTCTTTGATAAATAAAAAGTTAAAAAGAACAGTGTTTATTTAAAATAGAAATTGTGTGTTACAATATACACTACTATTCAAAAGTTTGTGGTCAGTAATTTGATTTTATGTTGGAAACAGTTGTGCTGCTTAATATTTTTTTGGGACCTGTGATATTTTTTCAGGATTCTTTGATAAATAAAAAGTTAAAAAGAACAGTGTTTATTTAAAATAGAAATTGTGTGTTACAATATACACTACTATTCAAAAGTTTGTGGTCAGTAATTTGTTTTCTTTTTTTTTAGAGACATGAATGCTTTTATTCAGCAAGAATGTGTTAAATGGATAAAAAGTCATAGTAAAGACTTACATTTTTAGAAAAAGATTTCTATTTTGAATAAAGGCTGTTCTTTTTAACTTTTTATTAATCAAAGAATCAAAGAAAAAAGTATCACAGGTTCCAAAAAAAACTAAATATTAAGCGGTACAACAGTTTCAACACTGATAATAAATCAGCATATTATACTGATTTCTGAAGATCATGTGACACTGAAGACTGGAGTAATGATGCTGAAAATTCAGCTTTGCTTCACGGGAATATATTATATTTTAAAGTATATTAAAATAGGAAACCAATATTTGAAATTGCAATAATGTTTCACAATATTACTGTTTTTTTGCTGTATTTTCGATCAAATAAATACATCCTTGATGAGCAGAAGAGACTCCATTAAAAAACAAGGTCAATTATATATTAGGTTTATAATATAGGCCTAACATAATATAATATCAAAACAAACTGAAGCATTTAAACTGAGATCTGTAAGTTAAATATTTAGCTTTCGCAAATGGCTTTCCCAACTCATTTATTTCGGCACATTATTTCTTCTGCGCTGTGGAAGAAGTGCGCGACCGCGCGCGCGCGCAGCTTAGAGGGAACATTGGATACAGGATGTTGTTTGTGATAGATTTCAGTCATAAAAAAGAACTGGTCATTTATACCACCTGAATTCATTTGTGTCTCACATGTTTCTCTCATACAGGAGGTGGTATGTCAGAAGAATATGGTAAGTGTCTTAATCTTCACTTACTCTCTGCCTCATCTTAATTTACTGTCATTTTCAAACAGAACGAAGAAATTCTTTCTTTGCCTCCTTTCTTAAGTTTGTGCTGTTATTCATGTGGGTTAATTGTTTGATTTCAAACCTGAAAACGTGGAAAAAGATAACTTCATTTTTGTTTGGTTATATCATGTTATATCAATTTGACAGACATTGTTGATGTATTTTGGTGTATGAGACCCGTAAGTTTTGTTGTAGAATTTTATAATTAGGCCAAAAAAAAGGTTTCAGCCAACGAAATCATCCCATAGGGGTTTATGAGTGAACCTTAGGAGATTTGTGAGATATGAACGTATAATGAAATATACTGTACAGAAGGCCCAGACAACCTTGCAAACTGCAAAATGAAACTAAATAAAATGTATAGATTATTTTCTCCTGTTGTCCACAACCAAGAAAATACCTTTGACCCTTTTTTGAGGCATGGCATACCTGCTTACTACTGATTTATTCATCAGTGTCCATTTTCACTGGATATTAACAGTATTCCTCTGCTTCTATGTTTTCCTCCTATTCCAGACATGTACCGCTAACTACACGTTCATTCCATACATGGTGACGCCTCAGAATAAGGTGTATTGCTGTGAGAGCAGTCTGATGAAGGGTTTGAGTGAGCTGATGCAGCCTAACTTTGAGGCCCTGCTGGGGCCCATCTGTATGCCACTACTGGACAGACTCACTCAACTGCTCACCAGCTGCAAGACCAACACCTGGTGGGAACTCACTACCTCCTTTATCTCCTAACATTTTCACTCACTTCCGTTTCGATAGGTTTCATTTCTATAGGTTTGTGACGTTCTAAAAGCTTGTTATTCCAAAGAATACTGCAAGCTAGTCAAAAGAGCTTAGGGAAGTTCAGAATTATGATGTTTTCAAAGTTAAGCTCAAGACATCTTTTTTTTTAACTTGCATTTGCTTGTTGATTTTGTATAGTTTTTTTATTGTATTGATTATATTGTGTTCAGCAAAGGCACTTTATAAAATAAAGTTTATTATTATTATTATTCAGTAGGTGTAATGTATTGTAAGTTGCTTCAGAGGCATAAGGTACTGCAAGTATTACATACAGCAATAATAAAACAGTGCGTTGACATGAAAAAGGAAATTTACTTTTGGTACTTAAGTACTTTTTGGAGCAAGTACTTCTGCACTTAAGTAAAATTCTGTCTTTACAACTTTCACCTGTAATGGAGTAATATTTGGCCAGCAGTATCTGTACTTTCACTTAAGTAATGGAGTTGTGTACTTTGTGCACCTCTAAAAAGTATTATTTTTTAAATTGTTTCAGTTCACCTTAGAAATGCATACTGTTAATGTTTATAATGACATATAGTCCACACTGAACAGTTTAGACCAGGGTTCCTCAAATCTTGCCCTGGAGGTCCAACGCGCTGCAGAGTTTAGCTCCAACCCTGATCAAACTCCGCTACCTGTGATTCTCTAATGATCCTGAGGCCATTGATTAGCATGCTCAGGTGTGTTTGATTAGGGTTAGAGCTAAACTCTGCAGGACACTGGATCTCGTGGGCCAGATTTGAGGATTTAGAGGAATTGTTTGAAAAACGTTCTTTTTTTTTAAACTGGCAGAATTTTTTTTTAATAATAATGCTATGAGATTAATGTGTTAAAAATATTTTGAATACTGAAATATGAAAAGATGAAATTATACTTTAAATATGAAACTAAACCTACAGTAGGTGGCACAAATTGTCTTAAGCGAGTTAACCAGTTCATATGAATGGCTCATTGAATCATTGATTTGTTCAAAAACGCTGATGCATTTAGGAACGAAATTGTGTTTTGCTTGGAGATGCAAAACCATTCTGTGATTGCATTGTTTGGAACGATTTTTGTTGGCAAAAAGAGACATTATTGAAAATATTGTGTCTAAAATGTAACTTTTTGTTTATTGAACTGTTATTAAACAACGGAAAAACAAGGTTGCTTGCTTGTAAAGTTCCTTAACTGTATCCTTCAGAAATATAAGACAAACTCATACAGGGACATTTTTGCCCCTATGTATTGGAATTTCGGGTCATTATATACTGATAGCCCACCATGCTTCATGGGCTCAGATAGTGTAATCACAGCATATACTGTACTAGTGGCTAGCTGCCCATACTAATCAACTTTGCTGTTGAAATATTGTTCCTGAAACAATAGCGTATGATGATAACTTCTGTGAATGGGCTTTTCTGCAATTTGTATTTCCATTCTTGCATAGTTCAGTAACTTTTCTTTTTGTGTCTTTTGTGTGCTTGTTTAGCCAGTACTTCCGTGAGACGGTTCTGAATGAGATCCGTAAAGCGCGAGAGCTTTACACCGGAGCAGAGCTAGCGGCTGAGCTCCGACGGATCCAGCAGCGGCTCGATAACGTGGAGTGTCTTTCAGCTGATGTCGTCATCAATCTCCTTCTGTCATACAGAGATATTCAGGTGACTGCATCACATAAGCCTTTGGTTGTTTTTCACAGTGATTGTAAAATAGTATTCATCACAATTCTGTTTTGCTGTAAAGGTTTTCTTTATGCAAAACGTGTATACAGTGGTGAAACGAGTAAAGGGAGAATGTTATTGGTTGATTTAGGTCACACTTTAACAGGATGTTCCAGATTCAAGACAAGTTCAAGGTGATGTGTGTAATTTCTTCAAATCTTGCAGTACTGCTCGTTATGTGGACACAACCATAAGCCATTCATATGTTGATTCTGCTGAAAAGCAGAATCAATTATTTTTGCAATCCTGTTTTCTCACTTCACCTGGATGCTCTGTGTCACATGCTGTTTTATTTCTCCCCAAAAATATTTTCTTGTGTCTCAGTTTGTAAAACAAATCAAAATTGCGTGTTCGGTAATGCTCTTACAATGGAAGTCTATAGGGCAAGACATTGTGCCGCGATGAACACCTAATAACTGCTGTTATTAAATATTATACGTGTAAGATTATAAGTGTCTAATGGGTTCAGTGTATCCACCTTTTGCCTACAAATGACACCATGATCCTTTGTGCGAATTATGGGAGTAACTTCTGTTGAACTGTAAACATTCAGCGACTTCCAATAGATTTCCAATAATGGTTCACTCCTCGTCCGTCGAACATCAAAAGCAAACTTAAAAGTCTAAAGTCTAAATACTTTCAGCAGGCTATGAATAACCCCAAAAGACTCAGTCTTTCTGTAGCAATATTATGGTTGCTAAATTTTACTGTCTAGTAATTTTAGTTACTTAACGTGCAGTTTATGTTTATGAAGTTTATGTAACGTGCATATTGTGTTACTCGAAACTTTATCATCATTAACTGTGACACTGATGGATATTTCAAAATGTTTTGTTTACTATCTTTAGAAATATTCCAGACATTGCCCCACCCCACTCATATGGCATTAATTTGATCTGTACAGGTCTTAAAAAGTCTTAAATTTGAGCTTAAAAATCCTGCAGAAACCCTGTGTGCTATAAAACAAACACGATGACATAAACAAGGAATATATATTACAAAGGTGTACAAAACTTATATTTTTGTGCAAAATATTAAAATATTCCAGTTTTGGAGGCCATAATGTCAGCCTTCAAACACTGAACTAGATCCAAAAAGCAACAGTCTGAACACAAAGAGGTCTGAGAAACCATTACTGCTTAAGTGGACCAAAAAAGGATCCGAGTCCTCTTTCAGGAACTGCGATAGTGTGAACACAAAGAAAACTGGGTCCTTTTTCGCTTGGTCCACTTAAAGGGGTCTAGGTTCGGTTCTTTTAAAGAGGACTCGAGTGTAAAAACACATCTCACCTCACTGCAAAAGTGATAACACCTGTTAGTTCTCATTAACAAGCATTCCCTTACCAGCAGGGTCTCTCAAGCTCTCTCTCCGTGCAACGGGTTAACATTAGACTAGTGTGATAAGGTGATTTACTTTGTACAAATGTGCGTGCAATATTTCAACACCTGTCATGATCATGTAAAGATGGTACACCTTGTAAATGATGCATAATATGTGCAAAGATATGTCCATAAAACACTGTTTACTTGGAGTATACTCCACCCTCAGGACGTGCATCAGTAACACATAACCTGAGGTGCATCAGCCTCAAACAGAGTACACCTTAAACACATTTTTGTTCTGAAAAGCTGATAAGCTTTAACCAAAATACAAGATGCTCATTTCTGCTTTTTAACTTCTGGAATGTCTTGCCCCCAATACTTCCACTATTAGTGTACTACTGCGAACATAGTGTTTGGTTTTTCAAACTGAGGGATGAGTAGAAATTATAATCAACAGCATGCTATAGACTTTGCCCATTAAGCTTAACCTGTACTGAACCTGGAATTTCCTTATTAATCCACGATCGTGATGGTTAAATTCCATTTCCTAAAATGTTAGCATGATTTGCTCTGATTAAAGTAACCCATAAAATATTACAAATTGCAAGTAATGTTAGTTTTGGCATTTGCAGTCTGTGACAACCAAGAAAATTTGTTCCCAAGGAAAGAATAAGCTCCTCTACCTATAGATTTCCCCTGAAGACGTCAAGGTGAGGTGTAGAGCTTGAGTTGGACTGTGCAGTAAATGTTTGAAGAGCTTGGTGTGTCCCTAAGCTTGGCTCTGCTTTACACTAGCCACCTTCTCTGTATATCTGATGGAGCTGCTAGTGAATGGAGGCAGACAATTTTGTAAAGACAAAATTGGTATAAATCGGCTAACCTAGCAAAATGTAGAATAATAAAAGGACTGTTGGTTTTGGATGTTGTGTACCGATCATTTCAATGCAGATGATACTAATATTAGGATTGTTAGTGCTTGTCCTGTTAAAAATTAATAAGATGAGAACAGGAAGTCATAAATGCTCTGCTATAACTTGGCAGTAAGTTACTTTAGAAGTAAAAAGTATGATAAATGACTGTTAATTACAGTTGCTTAGCTTCCTTACCTAATGTTACCTTCACTTCATCAAATTAATTTCTCTCTTATTAAGCCAAATTCTTCACTACATTATTCCTGATGTCCACTTATAGTCAAGGTTTTTTGCACCAAAAACACTCATTCATTTTTAAAAACATTCAATTTCATCACCATTTTCCACCCTTTCTCAAAGCCTCTAAATTAAATAGGCCTTGGTGGTTTTTAGGTTTGTCTTTGTGTATGTTAATGATCTCTTTATGTTTGCTAACCTCTGCGTACCATCATTGTTCATCATGTTACAGAAATTAGTTATTGATGTACAAATGTTAATAATTGTAATGCCATAATCATTAAGATTTTTGGCGCTTTGTTTTAGTATTTAGAAGTTTGACTCATTTGGGCGATTCAGTTTGTTTAAAAGATGAATTTCAACTTGATTCATTGGTTCTTTCATCTTGTCATTATCACCAGACATCACATACTTGACACAGGTTTTAGTAATTGGACACGAACAAAAGACTGACTCACAAATCGTTCAGTCTAATTTACTAACATAAATCGATCAAATTTGTCCATGGATCAGACATTACTGCTTTCAATTACTTGCATTCAATTATCATTCATTACTTTGAATGAATGCTCCTATGGACTGCGTTGTGATAATTATAGAGTAGTGTAGTACATAGTACATTGAACTTTATTTCAAAGCTTCAAAGTGAAAGAAAACTTGCCAAAGGTCTAAATAATTATATTTTTGTGGTTAATTATATAACGTGCAGTCAGTTCAAACTCTAGCTCTCATTTAAGAGGTTGTCATGAATATTTCAGTGCTTTTATTTGAATAAAGTATGAAGTGAATAAATGTTACATTCAAGAATCATCGTGTTTGAACAGTGTTTTTTAATTATTTACCAAAGGATTAGAATAAAGGTATACAGTGTTAAAAAAAACAACTAAATGTACTTTTACGGCAGAATTATTCATGAAGATTTTCCTTTTTATCTTTTTTTTTATGTGTTATGAGCGTAATACAGTACAGCAGGCTTGTGGTTAGGGGTGAGAATTATACAGGAATCCTCACATTTGATAATATTGTATAATAAACAGTTTCTTTTTTGTTTTGTGGTTATCTGTTTGTAGGATTATGAATCTATTGTGAAGTTAGTTGAAACACTGGAAAAGCTGCCGACCTTTGACCCAGTGGCTCATCCTCACATAAAGTTCCACTACGCCTTTGCCCTCAACAGGTGACACTGAACATCTTACTGTGTCTTAACTAGGCACACGCCTAGTTTACATTGAATATTACAATGCTGTGTGACACCACATAATCACACTTAATCAGAATGTTTGATGTTTAATATACTACGATCAAAAGTTGATATGATTTTAAAGGGGTCATATGCTGTTGCTAAAAAGAACATTATTTTGTGTATTTGGTGTAATGAAATATGTTTATGTAGTTTAAGGTTAAAAAAACGCATTATTTTCCACATACTGTAATTATTGTTTCTCCTCTATGCCCCGCCTTTCTGAAACGCGTCGATTTTTACAAAGCTCATCGGTCTGAAAAGCGAGGTGTGCTGTGATTGGCCAGCTATCCAGTGCGTTGTGATTGGCCGAATACCTCAAGCGTGAGACGGAAATGTTACGCCCCTTACCATACTGTGATGATGCCCTGTCCGGCCGGAGGGACCAGACAAAAACATTGTTCTGGAACAGTGTTGTAAATACAACTTAACCACTGATTTCTAGTCGTGTATTTTTTTGGAAGAACGAACAAAAAGTAGTTTCGCTTTCACAACGTAACGCAGCGTTACACACACACACGCCTTGAGTGAGCGGAGGTGGTGGGCATGAGAACGGCGCGGTCGGCGTAGATATGTGGGGGCGTGTTAGAACGAGCCGTTTTAGGTAGGCGTGGCTGACTCTTAACTTTTATAAAGAATATCTCTTTGGATTTGAGACTTTAGTCTTTGCAACTTTACAGATCTTCTTTATGCACCAAGAGCTTGTAACACTCCAAAGAGAAAGGAAAAACTGAAACAGCATCATATGACCCCTTTAATGTTTTTGAATTAGGCCTCCCAAAGGTGCAATTATTTAATCAAAAATACAGTAAGACCAGTAATATTTTGAAATATTATAACAATTTTAAAAAGTTGTTTTCTATGTGAATATATTGTAAAATGTACTCCAGTCTTCAGTGTCACATGATCCTTCGGTAATCATTCAAAGGAACAACAATTATTTGAAATTGAATCATTTTTGAAAAACAAATGTATTTACTGTCACTTTTGATCAATTGAATGTGTCCTTGCTGAATAAAAGTATTTTTAAAAAATCCCTAAACTTTTGAACAATAGTATATACAGAAGTGGAGCAATGAGATCTTACTGCAAACTGAGCTACTTAGAAGTCCAGCACCTGGTTTGGACATTACTATAGGAATACTATACGAGTAAAATTGAATGTGATTTGAATCTTAAAATCTATTAATAAGATATTTGATGAAAACAGTCCTGTCCCAAACTTACGCCATTGATTCAGTCAGTTTTGCTGTATCGGACTAATCCGACAAACAGCACTGGGTCATAGTGTTTACAGGTTTTAATGAAAGTAGCCTAAAAAAAGGCTTACATATAGTTGTTTGACTGTGCATATTAAACTGCATTTAAACTATTAAACTGGCATACATCTAACATGCTTTTTTGGTTAATTTCTGATTTTCACAGTCTCTTTTTGTTCTGTCTCTGCAGGAGAAATCTACCAGGAGACAGACAGAAGGCTCTGGACATTATGTTGCCATTGGTGAACTCGGATGAGCAGGTGGCATCTGATATTTATTGCCTTGTAGGCCGAATCTATAAGGATATGTTCCTGGACTCTCATTTCACCGACACGGATGGCAGAGATCAAGGCATGCACTGGTGAGGCCTTGAGGGTGAATCTCACGAAAACATTCACTCAAAAATCTAAATGATATTGCGTAAACAAAAAATTAAGTCTATTTGTAGGACCATTACATTTTTTTGCATTGTGAGATTTTTGACAGCTTTTGTGAGATTCACAAATAAAGTTGCCATAGTAACAGGTACAGTGACATTGTACTGTCTCTCTCTCTCCATGTACAGGTTTAGAAAAGGTTTTGAATCGGAGCCCACGCTGCACTCTGGTATAAACTATGCAGTGCTGCTGCTGGCTGCAGGACATCAGTTTGACTCCTCCTTTGAGCTGCGTAAAGTAGGTGCGTTTGATTGACAGTTTGGATAATATTGGGTTGAGACTCATCCATTCAACCACTCCTACAATAGTGGTGGGACAAACATTATTTGTGACCCTGAACCACAAAACCAGTCATAAGAAAACATTCACTCAAAAATCTAAATGATATTGCGTAAACAAAAAATTAAGTCTATTTGTAGGACCATTACATTTTTTTGCATTGTGAGATTTTTGACAGCTTTTGTGAGATTCACAAATAAAGTTGCCATAGTAACAGGTACAGTGACATTGTACTGTCTCTCTCTCTCCATGTACAGGTTTAGAAAAGGTTTTGAATCGGAGCCCACGCTGCACTCTGGTATAAACTATGCAGTGCTGCTGCTGGCTGCAGGACATCAGTTTGACTCCTCCTTTGAGCTGCGTAAAGTAGGTGCGTTTGATTGACAGTTTGGATAATATTGGGTTGAGACTCATCCATTCAACCACTCCTACAATAGTGGTGGGACAAACATTATTTGTGACCCTGGACCACAAAACCAGTCATAAGGAATAAATCAGCTTTCCATTGATGTATGGTTTGTTAGGATCGGACAATATTTGGCTGAGATACAACTATTTGAAAATCTGGAATCTGAGGGTGCAAAAAAATCTAAATATTGAGAAAATCATCTTTAAAGTTGTTCAAATGAAGTTCTTAGCAATGCATATTACTAATCAAAAATTAAGTTTTAATATATTTACAGTAGGACATTTACAAAATATCTTCATGGAACATGATCTTTACTTAATATCCTAATGATTTTTGGCATAAAAGAAAAATCTATAATTGGGATCCATACAATGTATTTTTGGCTATTGCTACAAATATCCCCCAGCGACTTAACACTGCTTTTGTGCTCCAGGACAGAGGTCTGCGTGGGACTGTTTTAGGTTCTATTCCGCACCCACCCGCTCCCGCTATATATTCACTCTTTGTTCACCCGTATGTTATTTTATTCGTCTTGTCAAGAGTCTTGAATTTATTGACTTTGACTTGAATTTATATGAATTATCTTAAGACAAAAAATTAGTTTAATATTTTATGCAACACAGTAGGAAAAAAAGTTTGTACAAAAATTGTATTTCTTATTTTTATTCGTCTTGTCAGGATACAATTCATTTAACATTAACATTAACGCAATAGGGAAAAAGTGTTGCAGAGAGAAAGAAAATAAAAATGTAGTTTGTACAAAAATAGCCTATTAGCTATTTTTATTCGTCTTGTCAAGAGTCTTGAATTTATTGACTTTGACTTGAATTTATATGAATTATCTTAAGACAAAAAATTAGTTTAATATTTTATGCAACACAGTAGGAAAAAAAGTTTGTACAAAAATTGTATTTCTTATTTTTATTCGTCTTGTCAGGATACAATTCATTTAACATTAACATTAACGCAATAGGGAAAAAGTGTTGCAGAGAGAAAGAAAATAAAAATGTAGTTTGTACAAAAATAGCCTATTAGCTATTTTTATTCGTCTTGTTAAAATACTAAATTTTTGACATTTTTCTGTTTTTCACAGTAGGAAAAGTGAAATAAGAGTAAAGCGCAGATATGCTGTTCTAAATGGACTTCGGGAACGGGATATTGTTAGACCGCCCGCTCCTGTTCAAATTACACCAGAGTTACCGACCGCTACCGCGTTTTATTCGGGAATGTAATCCCGCAGCGCAAAAAATCCGGTCGGGTCCCACGGGAATGCAGACCTCTAATCCAGGATTACATTTATTTATTTATTTAAACTTTTTTTTTTTTATATTGAAATGTCACATGATATCATTTGTGCATTGTTTTAGGATTATTCATTGTTTGGAAGGTGAAAAGTGGGCATTCCAGTCCAGAATGGTGCCAGACTTGCATTCGAATATAGAGAGGATGACAATTTAGTTTGTTAATAGTCAGACGTGAACAGTGTACTTTAGTTCAGTTCGATTATTTCCAATCAATCCCAAAATGTTTGCAGAATCAGACTAATCAATTCGCAGTGGTTCTCAAATAAACAACTCACTGATTCAGTGTGGTCAGCACAGGTCTCGATCTTTTGTTATTAATATATATTAAATCAATAGAGCTGTGCATTACATACTAGTGATGTTTTAGTCTTTGTTTATTTAAGACTTTTAGTGTTGTTTATGGTAAAGAATCAGTCTACATTGGTTTTCCTAATTGTGCACACACAATGTGACAATTTAAAAATATTAAATCGCATATTAATGTTGGTATTTTCCAAAATACTACTCTTGATACTTGCTAATTAATAAAGAGCATCTTCCGTTCTCAAATAGATAGTACACATGCTCTTGTCTGCCCCATATATTATATATATATACACTAGTGGTCAAAAGTTTGGGATCAGTAAGACTTGTAATGTTTTTAAAGAAGACTCTTCTGCTCATCAAGGCTGCATTTATTTGGTCAAAAATACAGAAAAAAACAGTACTCTTGCAAAATGTTATTACAATATAAAATAATGGTTTCTATTTTAATATCTTTTAAAATACAATTTATTCTGTGACGCAAAGCTGAATTTCCATCATCATTACTCCAGTCTTCAGTGTCACATGATCTTCAGAAATCATTCTAATATGCTGATTTAAATTTAAGGGGGTCTGAATACTTTCCGTACCCACTGTATATATATTTTATTCATCCAAACAGAAAACAGTACAAACTTTGCTAAAGAGGAATGTTTTGAAGAAGTATTAACTTGGATATTATGGAAACCATATTACTAAACATTTCATACTTTAAATAGTGTATTTTGTATCAATACTTTTGTCGCTTGCTGGTGAGACTTTTACCCCCTCCACTTACTTATACATGTATAAGAGCTTTATACAAAACAAACCACTTCTATGTTTTATTTTCTCACAAAATGCTGCTCCATCAATGTTTAATAAAAACATAAATTTTTTTCATACACTGTGGGAGTAGTGAAAAGCACATTTTCCTTGCGGTGTGTGACGTTAGCCCCACTGTACCCTAGTGTAGGTAAATACAGGTAATATTAGAATATTTACTACAGATCATTTATTTCATTACTTACTTAAAAAAAAAAAACTAAATATTTCAATAAAAGGTTTCAGTATTATCTATGACTTTCCCAGGCCTGGAAATCAGTTTTAAAATGTCCTAAACACCGTTTTTGTTCAAAATCAGTATGAGCAATAGTAATAGCGATAGTAATGTCTTAGCAAACACTAATAATTAATGGCAATTTTTTCCAACTATAAATAATACATAACACATTATATAATAATATATGCATATTATTTTAAACACTGATGCATGTGAAATGCGAATGTGTGCACATACCAGATGGGAGCTTTAAGTTTGAAGAGTTTCTCAGAGGCCTGGATGACTCGTGTGTTGTCGCAGGCGAGAATACTAGCCCCGAGAAAGAAACCCACGTCCCAGTAACTCTGTAATCTATCCAAACTGCCCTTCTTCCCCAGGAGACTGCTCAACTTCACACCTACAAGACACAGATTAAGTGCAAATATTATATTAGGAGGCATATTCATATATGGGAGACTTAATAAGAATTAATATAGATATATATGATATGTTGGTTACTCTCTCGCTGTCTTGTATAATATATATATATACACATACTACCGGTCAAAAGTTTGGGATCAGAACGATTTTTTATGTTTTTTACAGGAGTCTCTTCTGCTCATCAAGGCTGCATTTATTTGATCAAAAATACAGGAAAAAATTTTATATTATGATGTAAAATAACGTTTTTCTATTTCAATATACATTCAAATGTAATGTATTTCTGTGATGCGCAGCTGTATTTTCAGCATCATTACTCCAGTCTTCAGCGTCACATGATCTTCAGAAATCACTATAATATTCTGATTTATTATCAGTTGTGCTGCTTCATATTGTTTTGGAAAGTGATACTTTTTTTCAGGATTCTTTGATGAATAAAAAGTTAAAAAGAACAGCATTTATTCAAAATATAAATCTTTTCTAACAATATAAATCTTTGCTGTCACTTCTCAACAATTTAACACATCCTCGCTGAATAAAAGTTTTAATTTCATTCAAAAAAAAGAAAGAATACAAATGTACTGACCCCAAGCTTTTGAACTGTAGTGTATATTGTTAGAAAAGATTTCTATTTTAAATAAACGCTCTTCTTTTTAAATTTTATTCATCAAAGAGTCCTGAAAAAAAGTATCACAGCTTCCAAAAAGATATGATTACAATATAAAATAATGGTTTCTATTTTAATATCTTTTAAAATACAATTTATTCTGTGACGCAAAGCTGAATTTCCATCATCATTACTCCAGTCTTCAGTGTCACATGATCTTCAGAAATCATTCTAATATGCTGATTTATTATTAGCATTATCAACAGTTGTGCTGCACAATATTTATTTTTGGAAACTGTGATAAACTTTTTTTCAGGATTCTTTGATGAATAAAAAGTTAAAAAGAACAGCATTTATTCAAAATATAAATCTTTTCTAACAATATAAATCTTTGCTGTCACTTCTCAACAATTTAACACATCCTCGCTGAATAAAAGTTTTAATTTCATTCAAAAAAAAGAAAGAATACAAATGTACTGACCCCAAGCTTTTGAACTGTAGTGTATATTGTTAGAAAAGATTTCTATTTTAAATAAACGCTCTTCTTTTTAACTTTTTATTCATCAAAGAGTCCTGAAAAAAAGTATCACAGCTTCCAAAAAGATATGAAGCAGCAACAGTTTCAACACTGATAATAAAGCAGCATATTAGAATGATTTCTGAAGATCATGTGACACTGAAGACTGGAGGAATGATGCTGAAAATACAGCTGCGCATCACAGCAATAAATTAGATTTGAATCTATATTAAAATAGAAAAAAGTTATTTTGCATTGTAATAATATAAAAAAATTTTCCCCTGTATTTTTGATCAAATAAATGCAGCCTTGATGAGCATAAGAGACTCCTGTAAAAAACATAAAAAATCGTTCTGATCCCAAACTTTTGACCGGTAGTATGTGTATATATATATATTATACAAGACAGCGAGAGAGTAACCAACATATCATATATATCTATATTAATTCTTATTAAGTCTCCCATATATGAATATGCCTCCTAATATAATATTTGCACTTAATCTGTGTCTTGTAGGTGTGAAGTTGAGCAGTCTCCTGGGGAAGAAGGGCAGTTTGGATAGATTACAGAGTTACTGGGACGTGGGTTTCTTTCTCGGGGCTAGTATTCTCGCCTGCGACAACACACGAGTCATCCAGGCCTCTGAGAAACTCTTCAAACTTAAAGCTCCTATTTGGTATGTGCACACATTCACATTTCACATGCATCATTGTTTAAAATAATTTGCATATATTATCATATACTTATAAATTATTTATAATAGTAAAAAAATGCTGTTAATTATTAGTGTTAGTTAAGACATTACTATCGCTATTGCTATTGCTCATACTTTGAATTTGAACAAAAACTGTGTTTCGGGAATATTAAAACTGTGATTTCCAGTAAGTAATGGAAAAAGTCCATTAAGGGTACAATGGAGCTAAAGTCACACACCTCAAGGAAAATGTGCTTTTCACAGTGTATGAACAAAAAATGTTTTTAGTAAACATTGATGGAGCAACACTTTTTGTGGGGAAAATAAAACATAAAAGTGGTTTGTTTTGTTTAAAATGTCTTATACATGCGTGAATACACTCTCTAAAGTATGTAATATGTTTAGTAATATGGTTTGCATAATATCCAAGTTAATACTTGTTCAAAATATTCATCACATTTTCTTTTTTGATGAATTAAAGAATTTATTTTTGTTTAATAAATATCCCGTCATTAAAATGTTAATTTAAAAAATACAGAAGAAAAAACCCCTCTAAAAATTCTGAAATCTTTGAATGGGATCCCATAATAATGTAATATGGTTTTACATTAGAAAAAAATCAGTTATATGATTAATATGATATTTTTTAAATATGATGGTATTATTATAATATGGTGATCATCTCTAAGGTGGACACCCAACTTAATAAAGGATATTAACCATCTAAATTTCTCTGTCACATCAACAAATGGAAAATTCAGCCAGCTTTTTATTATCATGTCAGTTATTATGCCTTAATATATATATATATATATATATATATATATAAGAGCAGCGATGCTTTTTCTACCATCCTTTTACATATTCTTTAGTTATTGAAAACTGTTCTAATTTGAACAAAACTGAAAGTCGTTAAGAAGATATATTTGGTCATTTTATAGATTCTCATTGGCTACAGAACTCTATAACATTTAAAACAAACATTTAAATACTAGCTCAAAGTAGCACAGGATCAGCTGTGTTGCTGTGCACAATCGCGTCAAGGATCAGCCAAATTTCCATGTGCACAGTGAAGCTTGGATGTTTAGAAAAGTTCTGCTGTGATTTCTCTAGTGTCTCATCTAGTGGTTAAGAGGAGAATACAATCTAATTGCCCAGTGTTAGTCCCATTATACCCTACCTATAGATTTTCCTATTCCACGTCTTAAAGTTTAATTATGCAGCTTGTTGTTGAGACTTTTCTTTTAACAAAATTAGATTTTTTTTTTCTGGCAAATGATTAAATGGGCAAGTACACAAGTAAACAAAACATTGCCTAGAAGATTTCTAGAACAAATTCTAAGCCGTATCTAGAGACCGTATGCTAACTTTGGGGTGGACTTCTTTGGCTTGGGCTGGTAAGCAAACTCCTAACAACATCCCAGCATGAGAATGTAGTTGTCTGTTAAGAGTGAGTCATGCTTGTAGTCTTTTAGAGTAGGCTATTGTTCATTTATGAAAGTGCTTGTGTTTTATGTGTATTTCAGGTATCTACGCTCGCTGGTTGAGACCATCCTCATCTATAAGCACTTTACAAAACCAACCACTGATCCACAGGCCCCTAAACAAGAGCTTGTGGACTTCTGGATGGACTTCATGGTGGAAGCCACCAAAAAGGATGTGACATCTGTCCGTTTTCCTGTATGAACCTTCTTCATACAATGACTGTTACACTGCGTTGCCACATTGCATTGCCACATCACAACAGTTACTGTGAGAAAGCCATTTAAGACACAGAAGTGGCATTCACATTTACATGCACTGTGTTTGCATGCATAAAAACCCTGGAATGAACTATTCTCTAATGTGTATTTAAACATAGTCACTCAAACACTGCCAATTTTTTTTGTGTGTGTGCTAGTACGAGTATTGACTTATAGACACCGCATTAAGATTATTGGGCATTAATGGCATGTAAAGAATGTCAGAATTAATTCTGCTTGTTTTTGGTGCAGGTATTGATACTGGAGCCCACTAAAGTGTACCAGCCATCGTACCTCTCAATCAACAACGATGTGGAAGAGAACACGCTATCCATCTGGCACGTGACCCCTGACGACAGAGTAATAACTTACTATTTATCCATTCGTTCTTAAATTCAGATGTTCTTTTGTTTTATTTGTTGACTTATTAATTCTCTAAATCCTTTCAAATCCGAACATTACAGTACTGAGTGCTGCATATGTCTAAGTAAAAGCATGGCACTGATCCACGTGCTACAGGATTTTTTAGATTAAAGGGGTCATATGATGCTGCTATAAATAACATTATTTTGTGTATTTGGTGTAATGAAATGTGTTTATGCGGTTTAAGGTTCAAAAAACACATTATTTTCCACATACTGTACATTATTGTTTCTCCTCTATGCCCCGCCTTTCTGAAACACGTTGATTTTTACAAAGCTCATCGGTCTGAAAAGCGAGGTGTGCTGTGATTGGCCAGCTATCCAGTGCGTTGTGATTGGCTGAATACCTCAAGCGTGTGACGGAAATGTTACGCCCCTCACCATACTGTGATGCCTGCGGCAACCACATGTGACGACCCCGGGCTGGACTCCGCTTCGTCCACGGTGAAAGCCGAGCCGGCGATCCACAGCGAAGTTGATGTATTCCGTCAGCAACCAGCACGGATCAGCTCCAGGCATGACGAAGCAGATATCGTCCTCTTCTGGAAGACCAAACAAAGTAGTTTCACTTTCACAACGAAGCACACAGCGCCTTCACGACATGGTGGCAGCAACAATACTACAGCGAGAATAAAAGTTACGCCTTCTTTCTTTGCGTGAACATTTGGTCGGCATTATGCAAATCTTCCCACACAGTGACATAGACATGTGGGGGCGTGTTAGAACGAGCCGTTTTAGGGGGGCGTGGCTGACTCTTAACTTTTATAAAGAATATCTCTTTGGATTTGAGACTTTAGTCTTTGCAACTTTACAGATCTTCTTTATGCACCAAGAGCTTGTAACACTCCAAAGAGAAAGGAAAAATTTAAATCGTATCATATGACCCCTTTATGTTTCTTCAGTATGGACATAATAAATTCATTTCATTTGAAGTCTTAAAAATGTTCTTAACTTGGCAGATACTCTGTATCTAGCCCTTTTAGTGCACTAATTATTAATATATACTGTTTTTACAACATCACCAAAAAATACACTCAACTGGGGCTACTAAATTATGGGCCGGTACAGAATTAGCACTCAGCACACCACAGTTTATAAAGTTTTAGACCCCCCTCGGCTCTTGTGTGTTCATTTAATAAACATTTGTGGCTAATCTAATAATGCCTTCACGTAGATTTATGAATCTTTGCATTACAAATCTAACTCTAAACCTAAAACATTTAGGTCCCAGGTATACATTTGAAATTGAACAGTAAACTTAAAACAGAGTCCCAGACTTTTGTTACAATTATAACTGTAAACTTAACACATTGTCCCAAAGTTACTTTGCAAATTTAACTATAAATTTAGCGGTAACACTTTATTTTAATGTCCAGTCTAAATTATGGGCCGGTACAGAATTAGCACTCAGCACACCACAGTTTATAAAGTTTTAGACCCCCCTCGGCTCTTGTGTGTTCATTTAATAAACATTTGTGGCTAATCTAATAATGCCTTCACGTAGATTTATGAATCTTTGCATTACAAATCTAACTATAAACAAAATAAAACATTTAGGTCCCAGGTATACATTTGAAATTGAACAGTAAACTTAAAACAGAGTCCCAGACTTTTGTTACAATTATAACTGTAAACTTAACACATTGTCCCAAAGTTACTTTGCAAATTTAACTATAAATTTAGCGGTAACACTTTATTTTAATGTCCAGCTCTCACTATTAACTAGTTGCTTCTTAGCATGCATATTACTTGCATATTGGCTGTATGTTAGTATTTATAAAGCACATATTAATGGCTTATTCTGCATAACCATGTTCTAGATCCCTTAATACCTAAACTTAACAACTATCTCACTAACTATTAATAACCACCAAATTAGGAGTTTATTGAGGGAAAACTCTTAGTCAATAGTGAATATATGGGCCCTAATCTAAAGTGTTACCAATTTAACATTTCAAACTTACTTTGTAAATTTAACACAGTCCCAAAATTGTACTATTACTATTATATTTATAAAGTTACACTAGGCTGTGTCCAAAAGTTACAAAAGTTGAAGAGGTAGGAAGGCAACAAGATTTTCCTGAATCCAGTGATTGTTAATGTGTTTTTGAATTTTATTTCTAGTGAGAAATTTGTATTGTAGTAATGAAATATTTGCTTTATATCACCAGCTGTCTTTATATTTTGTTGTACATCATTAGACCATTATGCTGCCTCAGAAGCCTGTCCGAAATAAGTTTTGAGAGGTTTTCAAAGTCATTGCCTGACAGGGCAGTGAAGAAACCAGTCAGCTGCCTACGATTTTGGACGCAGCCTGAATATCAGGCGTATTCAACAATGAGATATAATGTAGAAGCATAGTAGTCAGTTTATTGTGAACATCATTCACTGTATCTTGCAGACTGCAAATGTTATGATGTTTTCTGTGCTATCAGTTCTGCTGAACTTTGCTAAATTATGTAATTAGCATATCTGGATGAAAACAAACTCTCTCTCTCTCTGTTTTAGGGTATAGGGATCCACGAGTGGAATTTCAGTGCAGCATCAGTACGAGGTGTGAGGTAAATGCTGTCTTCTCAAATAAACTTTAATTAAGCAGGAACACACTTTATTTTTTACGAGAATTCATGAACTGACTAGACGAAGGTGAGGTAGAAGATAGCATTGATATGTATAATAAATAAGTATATAACATAAATGTGAATATGATGAAGCATTTTTTTACCTTCTTTCTTTTTTTTGCATTCAGCATCTCCAAATTTGATGAGCGCAGCTGTTTTCTGTATGTGGTGAACAACTCAGAAGACTTCCAAATCTATTTCTGCACAGAGATGCACTGCAAAAGGTATGCCATGTGTGTTTTTGCAAATGCATTTTTTCCCCCACATTTCATTTATTCTTCATTACAGTGCCAGAGACAATTTAAGGACAGAACTTGCAGATTAGATTGTCGCATAGACTTATTCTAGAAACTAGCGATGCGAAATGTATCGTCCAGTGATTTTGTCTGCTGCTAAAAGCATCAGACGTTGGATATTTAGTGAAGTATTTCCTTTCAGTCATTAAGGGGGCAAGAGAAAGAGACGCCAGACAGTTACAAACTCTTGCAATGAAAAACATAATATCAACAAACATCTCTTTTATACTGTGTAGGGCATACTAAACTAAGAAGTTAATCACAGTATGCATCTTTGTGTATTTAAAGCATTTATTTGACTTTATTTGTTGTAAATTGTGATTATGTCAGCGTATGAGTTACATGTCTGATGTCTGTGTGTTGCGTAGGTTCTGTGATCTGGTAAACACGCTCACTGAGGAGGCCTGGAAAGGCTCAGAAGAGACTGAGTGTGAATCAGAGGCTTTAGAGGTAAAATGATGATTGTTGTATACATTTGTTATATATATAGTACTGAACAACAGGGAGGTAAGGCAGCGTGTAATTTGTGTGTTCTTGTGTGCCTGCAGTATGATTATGAATACGCTGAGCATGGAGAGAGGGTGGTTCTGGGTAAGGGCACATTTGGGGTAGTCTATGCCGGTCGTGACCTCAGTAACCAGGTGCGCTTAGCCATCAAAGAGATTCCTGAACGGGACAGTAGGTGAGCCACAGTTCTCTTTTTTCTGGAAAGAAGTTTAATTGCACTTTCAAATCTAATTCTTTTTGGATAGGAATGTCTTTCATTGCAGTGAATATTTGTTGACAATTTTGACCTTCATTGAATACTATAACAGAAGGTACTTTTCTCATTGCACAGCCTGGTAAACCTTCATGTAGACTTGCCATAATTTCATCATTGTTATACCAGTGTCGTGCGGTTGGACGCTAGGTTGATTTCCAAAAAATCAGTTCGAGGTGAAAATGAAAACAAAACTGACAAATTAATTTGAATCATATTAAATTGTGTTTTGATTACCAAACATCAATATTTTAAGCATTCAGGGATATTGCATCAAATTCAGCATTGTCCTATATTCCAAAAAAAAGTATCCCATATCGAATCAATACAGTATGCGATATAAATGCACAATGTTGCAATGAGAATGACATAATAGGGAATGAAGCCAAGTCAGTTTTACAAGAAATAGCAGAGAAGCACAAAATTATTGGGCAGAGAATGACAGGGTTGAAGTCGGAGAATATACTGTATACGTGACCCTGGACCACAAAACCAGTCATAAGGGTCAATTTTTTGAAATTGATATTTATACATCATCTGAATAAATAGGCTTTCCATTGGTGTATGGTTTGTTAGGATAGGACAATATTTGGCCGAGATACAAATATTAGAAAATCTGGAATTTGAGGGTGCAAAAAAATCTAAATATTGAGAAAATCATCTTTAAAGTTGTCCAAATGAAGTTCTTAGCAATGCATATTACTAATCAAAAATTAAGTTTTGATATATTTACAGTAGGACATTTACAAAATATCTTTACGGAACATGATCTTTACTTAATATCCTAATGATTTTTGGCATAAAAGAAAAATGGATGATTTGGACCCATGCTATGTATTGTTGGCTATTGCTACAAATATCCCCCAGCGACTTAACACTGCTTTTGTGCTCCAGGGTCACATATTTAATTCAGCACATGTTCTAGTCCTTGTTCTGAGTATAACCGGTATCACTGTATACTACGGCAAACCTATCTTCATTATGGCATACATCCAATGTAAAAAAGTCTGATTACTTGTTACTGTTGTCAGGCATCATTTCTAGTGTTGCTGTGGGAGTTGTATGTGCATGTGTAATGTGTGTGTTGGCTGGGATTTAGTCGGCCAAATCTGTTTTGCCATTATGCTGTTATCAGTAAGAGTAGAGCATCATTTAATCTGAGGGTATATACAGTTTATATATAATATAAATGAATATGCAATATTCATGTGTGCTTAGGAGGATGTGATTAAGCAGATGTAAAGAGAAACATGAAAAATGCATGCAATCACAGCAATAGTTTATCTAACAGCACATGTAACGCTCTGTGTTGGTAGATATTCACAGCCTCTGCATGAAGAAATCGCCCTGCATAAACACCTCAAGCACAAGAACATCGTGCAGTACCTAGGCTCCATCAGCGAGAACGGCTTCATCAAGATCTTCATGGAGCAGGTGCCTGGAGGTGAGACAGACGTGCTAGACCTTTATAGTGTACTTGCACATCTTTGGGCCAAAATTCATCTGTGTTATTCAAAATGTTAAAAAAATGTTTGTATTTGTCTTTTGAATCACAGGCAGTCTGTCAGCATTGCTCAGGTCAAAGTGGGGTCCTCTAAAAAACAATGAGCCAACTATCGGTTTCTACACCAAACAGATATTGGAGGGTATAAAATACCTGCATGACAACCAGATAGTTCACAGAGACATTAAGGTAATAACCCCTTCATCCTAAAATGAGGCTAAACACGCACATGTTTTCAATGTGAAGTGATTATTGAAAATGAATGCACCCCCCTGAAGCGGTGAAGCTTGTATATTATTAAAGCAATATAATATTTATAACAGCTAAGGGGCGTTGTTAACACCCTTAGCTGTTATAAATTCACTGTAAACCACAGCTTCACAGGGATTATTTTATAAAATGGTTATTCCATATACATAGTAAGGTTTCACAGAATAAAACAGCAAATAAAGAGTAATGATATTAATAAAAACAGTATTCTTCCACCAAACAATGTAGCTCCTCCGAATCAGTTGTGGTTGCAACAAAGTGAAGTCTGATAGGTTTGCCTTGAAGTCATTTGAAAATTTATGGTTACCACATTTCAAGACATATTTGTATTTGTTTTTTTTTTGTTTTTTTTCCATCAGTATGAGAACCTCAGCTGTACACATATACGTTCTTAGGCCTTTATATTGCTGCAACATTTTGATCTCCTTCACATTTCTTTGAGATTCTGGAAGTGCACAGAAAAGTGACTGATTAGCAGAAATGATTGATTCAGTTGCTACTTTCATGACCTACAGGGGGATAATGTCTTGATAAACACCTACAGCGGAGTTTTGAAAATCTCTGATTTTGGAACATCCAAACGTCTTGCCGGGATAAACCCCTGCACCGAAACCTTTACTGGTACTGAGTGTATTATTTCTTTTGCCATTTATATTTACTTATCCTTTTGTCAATAGCAACTTGATGCTTCTTCTATAACACTGAAGGACACAGCTATTATATGTGTTGCAGATTTGGTCTATTGAATTTTGAGTAATATCGTTAGTATCTTAGCAGATACTATTATTAGCAGTCATTTATTACATCCATGCTGTTTGTGTATGTCAGGTACGTTACAGTACATGGCCCCTGAAATCATCGATAAAGGGCCGCGTGGGTACGGCAAGCCAGCGGACATCTGGTCTCTGGGCTGCACCATTATAGAAATGGCTACTGGGAAACCGCCCTTCTATGAGCTGGGGGAGCCGCAGGCAGCAATGTTCAAGGTCAGGCGTGATTACTGTGATTAAAGTGTCCAGAAGTAATCCTTGGTGTGCTGAATATGTAGTAAAACTATCTGCATAATATGTAGCCTAATTGACCATTTTCTTTTAGTTTTGTACTGTGGACTAAATGTGTGCTTTGTTGAACATAAATGTGAGCCTGGAGCACAAAAGCAGTGTTGAGTCGCTGGGGGATATTTGTAGCAATAGCTAAAAAAACATTGTATGGGTCACAATTATACATTTCTCTTTTACGCCAAAAATCATTAGGATATTAAGGGAAGATCATGTTCCATGAAGATATTTTGTAAATTTTCTACCGTAAATATATCAAAACGTAATTTTTGATTAGTAATATGCATAGCTAAGAACTTCATTTGGACAACTTTAAAGATGATTTTCTCAATATTTAGATTTTTTTGCACCCTCAGATTCCAGATTTTCAAATAGTTGTATCTCAGCCAAATATTGTCCGATCCTAACAAACCATACATCAATGGAGAACTTATTTATTCAGATTTCAGATGATGTATAAATCTCAATTTCGACTGGTTTTGTGGTCCAGGGTCACAAATATCATTTGAATCAAAGTTGTTATTTTTCAAATGTTTTTTGTTTTTTTTAAATCCACCAGGGCACATAGAAAATACACCTATCCTACATTAGGAAATTGTGTTGTGTCCAGAGTTTTGAAAATGCATTTTACGGCTGGTGTATGTTGTCTAGGTTGGGATGTTTAAAATCCACCCGGAGATTCCTGACTCTATGTCCACTGAAGCCAAAGCATTTATCCTGCGCTGTTTCGAGCCTGACCCAGACAGCCGAGCCACGGCCAATGATTTACTCACCCACGAATTCCTCACCGTTACATCACGCAAAAAACGATCAAAGAACAGTAGTTTCACAGGTGTGTTTGTGTGTTATATGGACATTACCCCTTATACCAAGCAGTCATTTCAGATGGTTCATGAATAGGGAACAAATTAGGGAATAAACAGGAATCTAATCTTTCTTATTATTTCCGTTGTTTTTATTTTTTATTTTATATTGGACTTGACTCTCTTGACTGTTTTCAGTGACTAAAATAATACAGTAGTGACAGAATTTGACAAACTATTGAATTTGAATTTTCAGATCATTTAAAACATTTTTATAGCTTAATTTTCTCCCTTTAGTAAATGTTACACTATTTAAAATTGTTACATCCAAAAAGTGACACCCAAAATCATTTGGACAACATGATGGGAGAACAAGTAAATATTGGTTTCCGAATTACAGAATTTATGAATAAATTAATTACCAAAATTATTGAGATCAAATTACCCTTTATTTATGGGAAATCTATTAATATCCAGTCCCAACTGTCTAGGCCAAAATGAGTGGCTGGTTAACTTAGGCTACTAATATAACTTTAGTTTTGTTACTTTCAAGTCTGTTACCAATATTGCTGTATTTTTTATGTATTTATTTAATTTTATATTTCAGTTTGGTAATGCCTATTTAATGTTTATTGTTGAAATGAGAACACAGCAGGCTTTTGAACTCTGTCTAGACATAAAGCAAATTAAGAAATACAAAAGTTCTTTAAATTAAATTTTGAATTATGTATTCTCAGCCTTGTTTTTGTTTTTTTTACAGCTCTTACACCAGGACCTGGTGAGTCTTATTTGTTTCAAAACATATAACCAGTGCTTATTTTTACTTTAGTTGTGAAAGGTAGTCAGTGGAAGTACAGTGATGTGTCAGAACTCATGTGTATTACAGTGACAACTCGATATACAAGCAAAACATAAGGGCTTGTATCATAAAAGTTTCAAAACTGCTCTCTTCTGTCACATCCTTGTCTTTATTTTTCATATTGACTGCGCATAATTTCGCTGGCTTCTGCGGCAGATCACACTATAAATAAACGCATAATCGCTTACTTTATGTCCTCCGTGTTTACTTCTGTATGACAACGTGCTGCGCAAGTGTTGCCAAGTCCACAGGTTTCCTTTGGAATTGGGCTACTTTTTCACTTTTGTTTTTCAAGTCTGTGGGCTGAAGCGGCACCAGTAACGTGATATAGACCTCCCTGGAACGCAGTTGGGCTAGTTTTGGACTAGTTTTGAGAAGCAATTGGGCAGATTTGGTTGTGAAAATCCTTCTATCCTGTTCATGTTGTTCTTTTGCACATGCGGGTCAGTTCAGAACCATGATCTGTTCACACTGG